TGCACGAACGCAAATTTGCAGGAATTTGCAAGTTTCGCTGCCAGCTGGCGTCCACGGTTGCATTTCAAACATAAAAAATTTTTATAGAATTTTTAAAATTCTTTCGGATGGCCAAAAACAGGATATACATGTATATTTCTTGTTGTTCTGACTTTCTTTAACATACATTTCAATTTCTTCATCGTACTAGCTGTCGGGTTTCTTAAATCGACTCTGGTTGCAATTGCATTCCGATTGCGAATACCATTTTTTTCAGCCGAATTAAGTTCAAATCATTGGAATTAACTAAATTAATTATATCAACAATTATTTACTTCCTTTTTTCATAAAAAAATCGCTCGTGTTTATAAATTTTTAAATTTAACAAACTAATTTATTCAAATTATTGTAGACAAAAATGCAACCATGCGCCACAACCACATGTTTTTCCTGTTTGCAAATTCTTGCTGGCAAAATTTTTTCCAGCAAGAATTTGCAACTTCTCTCCAAGAGAACTGTCACTTTGCTCTCACAATTTTTGAGTGTTGGATAATTTTTTGGTCTGCACGAACGCGATTTGGGCAAAAATCGTGATAGTTCGTACAAATTCGTACAAATTTTTTGCTCGACGAACAAACCTAATTTGGTTGCCAAACACACTACAGCTGATCGTTTGACACATTTACCAGAATTTACCAGCAAAAAATTCTCGGACTAAAACTGGTAACTTCTGACAGAGAGAGAACCGTATTTACTATCTTTTTTGTCCTCTCAATAGTCAGAGAACCGAGTACGGGATCGATTTCCAGTAAAATCTGACTGATTCTGACTATTTCTGACTAGTCCGGACTCGTACGGGATCGCAACTAAAATCTTGAAAAGTGTCAAACTCAACTGAATTTAAATTAACGGAAATTAAAGAAGTAAAAAAGTGAATTGAAGGTAGCAGGAGGCAAAAAATAATTGATATAGTAAGTGTTTATTGCGCTTGTGCTTGTGTGAATGTGTTTTGTACATAAATTTTATTCTTATTGGAATAAAAATTTGGTTTTTTGCGTTCCTTTACTTTTCCTATTATTCTCTTTCAGTGAGCGCATTTTGCTTACGCTCTTGCATTTTGACATTTTTCAGGTTTTAGTCCGAAAAGATAAACCGACTGTTAAAGTCGGTTACGGTACAATGGCAAAGTTGTACGGCAACCTAGTATCGTAGTCATCTTCAAACTAACTCAAAATGCCTTTTCAATGCCAACTTAGAGTTGCGATCGCTTTTTTAGAAATGTTATGCTGTTTACATGTCAGCTTGGGGTGAAGTTTTAGTGGCATTCGAAAATATTTCATTATGAACATGAAACTGCACGACAAGCTGAACAACAAGGTCCTCAAGTCGCTCGCCGGCAGCACTTGGCAAAGACAAAGAAACGTTGCTGGCAACATACAAGGCAATTGGCCGGCCGCTTTTAAATTATGTACCACCAGTTTGGACGCCTTGGACTAGTTGGACGAAGCTACAGACTTGTCAGAACGCCGCACTCCGGACAGCGACCGGGTTCCTTCTGATGTCGCCTGAGCACCAACTAAACAGCGAGGCCCAAGTGCTCCCCGTAAGGTAGCAGAACAAAATGCTTTGTAAGCAGTTTCTGGTTGGGTGCCACAGAAGTGAACACCCTAACAGACCACTGCTAGATAAGGAGCCACCGCCCAGGCACGTTAAGGGGCACCTATACGTGTAAAATAGGCGAGCCTTAGGAGTACCGCTACAACAACAGCAACAAGAACAATTTAAAAAAGTAATCTCAACTCCGAAAACACATATACAAAGGGCTTGTTCGAGTTGCAACCATAACCGCAGTACTGCGCGAATCATTAAGGTCGGTGTTATGCAGACAAATTTTTGTTTGCCAAATTAAATGGCGGCTGCTTAGTTTGCTCGGAGGTGGTTATGTCGAGTTATGTCGAGAGGCACAGGGTTGCACGTTCATTATGGTTTTCATGGCTATTGCCAACACGAAATGAGAATTTTGTGTATAGCAACAATTGTGTAAAATTTGTGTATATGACAACGCCGAATTTGCTGCAGTTTGACCAAACAAAATTAGTTTGCTGTGAGAGTCGCCAAACTCGCTCTCTCCGAGTTTGCTGCAACAACAATTGCACGCAGTTTGCCAAACAAAATTTCTGCATAACACCGAACTAACGGATTTCTAACGTATTATCAGTTGGGCACCTTGTAAACTTTCATCACTGCTACAGTATTGCCGCTTTTATTACATGCCTCGAACAGGCCCATACTCCCAGTTTTCTAAGCACAAAAAAAATAGAAAACATATGTTGTACATTTTTTGTATTAATTAATGTATTTTTTTTATTGTATACCATTTATTTTTCGTAGAGTAATTATTATTAATTGCACAGTGCAGCACGTTTACAGAAAAGAAGTCGTCATTCAAGAAACGAGACTCATGTAAAAGCCATCCAAAATAGTGCAATACGTTTGTTTGGCCTTCTTCAGCGTTAAATCCCAATTCATTACGAAAGTTTATAAATTTTTAAACCAAACACTGCTGCAATCATCGTAAGTAGTATTTAGTTTTTTTCATAGATTTTTTTTATTAATCCATATAGCGATTATCGTTTTTATTATTTTTTCCATTATATATACTGTATGCGTATGTATTATTTATTCATATTTTCAAAATCGATTTAACGACTGCTTGGTTTAATTTTATATTCTTAAAGTTTATACGTGTTACAATATTTTTTTATAATTTTATATTTGCTTGTAAGTATCATATTAGTTAATAACTTTATGCTTTATTAAGATTTCGTTACAAACTATATTTATGTGTATTGTATATTAATGTGTGGTTGTTTTTTTATTGTTTCCAACAATTTTCGTAATTTTATTTATTTATGTATGTATGTATTTTTTAGAAAAGTAATCATTGTCCCTCATTTTTTGCAAAAACAAAAACTTGTTTTCTTATTTTTATTTAACATAGTCAAGTCTAAGGAAATTTGCCAATTCTATTTAGGCGATGGATATTGGCGTTCGCCAAAACGCGTTTCGTTTTCTTTCCTTTCCTTTAATTTTTTCATGAACAAATTTTCAAATGTTTGCTGACATAAATTCTAAATGCAATAAGCTCCAATAATATTCTTTTAATTAAATATATTTTTGCAAATATAGGCATTTTCCTCAGTGCTAAGTCACATTTTTTTTTAAACAATTTTGGGTATTCATTCATACAAGCAGCATTGCGACTGAAATCATAAAATCAAAATAGTAATGTCAACTAAAGTAAAAAAAGACTAACTAACACCAGCTGTTAGATTACAACTTTACAAGCGGAGAAACTAAAGAACGGAAATCCACTTAATATTCTAATAACAAATCTATAATGTATTGCCCCTATATGCAGTCTGATTTCGAGCCGATTTAGTTTAAGCGTACAGTGCTGGGCTGAAATTATTTTTAAGTTAACCACAGCTAAATTAGGACTGAAAAAATTAACTCTACTTAAGCTATGATTTTTTTGATAATTTTGAATTTCTCTAGAGGAGAAATAAATGACTCCAATAATGCTCACCTGCCCTGTTGAAAAGAATTTTGCGTTGCCTGCATGGGCGAGCTCACGCTCTAGATGAATACCCAAATATCTTTTGATTCTATACTTTTAATGATAAACATTTAGTTATCTTTGTTATTTAACAAAAAAAAAACTTAAACTGTGTCTTTATAAAACATATGTGTTACCATCCATCCTTCTGCGAAAACAATGTGTAAATCAGTATTCAGTTCATTCATTGCATATGTATAAGTATGTCCTTTGTGTACATCCATATTTTTGCATGTTTTTAAATGTCTTCCATAATTTTATCTTGTATTAGCCATTGTAGATTATTTATTCGTGTATTTTTGTTTTGGTTTTTTTTCTTTTTAATGCCATTATATGTAGTATTTTACTTTTAGCTACTAATTTGCAATTTGAGCTTAAAATATGTAATAAATAGGCTTTTAACACATACAATTTCTGATTATTTTTTTTATCTCATTGTTAAGTTTTTCCCATTTAATTATTTGAAAAACTCTTGAAAGTAATTCTGTTTGCATGTTTCACATCATCTTTGATTTCTTCACCGCAAGCGCTATACTCTTTTGTTAAACCTTTCTAGTAATAAGTTTTTTTTTATTTGTAATATTTAGCATATTTCTTTTGTTGCAATCAGTTTCATTAAGAATATAAATATATAAATATCATTTTTTATGAGAGCTTATTTTTTAAATCTGCTTCCTATGCATAATCCCGGGGACATCTACATATGTATGCATGTGTCTGTATGTAAATACAATTTATGTATGCAAGTGGGCTTGATTTTACGTCATGTTTTGTTTTTCCTCTTTCTATTGATTACAACTTCTTAAACTTTCCCTATTTCGTTGATTTGCACATATGAATCTATATATACTTGATATCGCTGATCAATGCTGAAAGTATATTATTTAGCCTTTTTGTTTTTATTTCATCACTGGTATGGTGTATCATCTGCAGCATGCATATGTATGTATATGTTATCGGTCAAACCCGATCTTAGGACAAACTGGTTTTGCTTAGAGCAGGCGCCACAGTATTTTTGAGCAGAACTTCTTTCCGCGTAAGCAGCCTTCGGCCGCGCCTCAAAAAAATAACCCTCATTAGTCCAACTCCAACTACGCAGTCCAGAATATTGTTGCGTCCAACTTGATTCCGCGTTGGATGGATGTATCGGATCTAGTTAGAACTAGTTTAGCCTAGGAAAAACTAGTTTATCCTTAGATCGGGTTTGGCCGGTAACATATATATGTTAACAGCTCTGTTAAAGCGCCTATGTGTACACGTATGTATTTGAATGCGACCGAATGCAACCAACGAAATTATTGTGAATATTATTAATGCAGCTGTAGGTTCCTCCGCTGTTGTTGTGGGTAACGATCAAAACATTCATTATTCCAACACTGCTACCTTTAAAGTTTAAATAAATTTAGAAGAGTTGCACCGGCACAAATGGTGGCAATTCACCAATGTGCAGCGGTGGATTTGCTGGTCTGTAAGTAAACAGATGCAGATAAAGAAATTAATATAATTATAAAAACTTGCTATACAACAGCATAGCTACAGAGTTTGAAAGGCAGTGCGTTAATGAAATGCTGTTGCACGTAAAATGTGTGAATGTGCATACATGTGAATATACATATGTATATATGCATTGCCAGTTAGCAATCCTACACACAAACACTACAACTTCTAGTACCTTACAAAGAACATGCTGGTTGCTGACAAAGCTGGACCATTAATTTTACTACTGTTGTTGGCAATAGCAGTCGTGTGCTGCTGCTGTTTATGTTGTGGCTGTGCCTGCGCCTTCAGTGGTGGTGTAGCGCCCATTGTTGATGTAGTTGGTGCGCCATTCATATGAAGTTGTGTGTGAGGTGCGGCTGAAGAGTATGTTTGCTGTGTTTGTTTTTGTTGCAGATTATTGGTGGAAATGTTGGGAACGACGTTATTAGTTAGGTTACGATTAAGATTATTGTTGTTGTTGTTATTATGAGCATAAGAGTGTGATTGACGTGATGGCGGTGGGAGGGTTTGTTGATGCCGCTGTTGCTGCGGTGTGTGTTGTTGTAGCGTATTCGCTGTCTGCTGATGTTGGTGTGGCAACAGGTGTGCATGATTATTTTTCGACTTCGAATTTAATTGCTGTGGCATGGTGAGCCCCAAGCCAGATACAGAATTTAAAAGTTTTCCAACGGAATTCGCACTCCCTCCGCCGCCGCCAGCATTCAAGCCGGGCGAGGCTTGGTAGTGTGGTAGGCTAGAGTTATGCTGATTGTTATTAATCAGGGATTGTAAGGGTGGAGCGGTGGATTTGTTGTTGTTGCTGTTATTGTAATAATTGTTGCTACTGTTCGTAATACTCTGACTGACTTTGGCGGTTGGGGGAGTGTTGGTGGTGACTGCTGTGGCTGTAGTAATGTGCGACGCAACAATACTTGCATTTGTGTGTGGTCTGGCGAACATATTTCACCTGTTAACGTGACTTCGATTATGACTCGGATTTATGCCAGTGTTGTGATTTGAATGCATGGCCGAAGCACCACCTGGAAAATGGAAAATAGATTAGGATGACAAAAAAAATAGCATTTTTCAATCGATTTAGTATGCTACGCACCACCAAAATTCGAAGAGTTGGGATAATAGTCGCGTCTATTGTAGTCGGTTTCATATTCGGAAACATCGTAGGGTCCACGCGGTGCCATGTTTGCTGTTCCTATACCGGTACTACTTGGCACATGCCCAGCATGTGTGTGAGTAGTAGGTCCATGTCCATAGGGGTATGCATCGTAAGAGGGTTGTTCATATGAGATTGGATCTTCATAGCCGCGTCTACAATGAGTTCGAATAAAGTCATTAACAAAGAAAGGCACTCGCAAAGTGTTTATGTAAGAGAACCAACCCATAAGTTTCCTCCATGGCTGTTCGTGCCTTCTCCAAAATTGAGAGTACCTTTTGTTTAGGTGCAACAGCATTCTTACTGAATGGCAAAGTTTGTGAAGGTTGTGGTGTCCTTTTATCAAATATATATAAATATTTGTATACATGAATGAACTCTCACTACTTTCGGCAATCCATTTAATTAACTTACCTGTATCCATGGTGTGGTGCACCTTTACCCATGCCGATATTACTGCTACCTCCTACGGATGCTAATGAACCACCACCCAAAACGCCACTCCCACCAACACCAACTCCAGCGCCGCCTCCACCTCCTCCAACACCACCTACACTACTGCTAGTTTGCTGATGTGACATTTTCTTATAAGTCGACTTGGTTACATCATCAGAAATGCCTGTATTGTCCATTAATTCTCGTAGCTGCTCTTGTCGTATAACATCGTTACTATCAGGTATTAAGTACTTTCGGAGCTCTGCCATTGCATAAGCAATACGCGCATAAGCTTCAGCCGGTGGAGCAATTGTAGAGATTTCCACATGCAAATCACTGTTCAAATGTGCATATTTCGGATCTTTCGATGAACGCAATTCCTCTTCCTTCGCACGATCGCGCATCGAATTTCGGCCCAGCACCGTCATTTTGCAGAGCGTCTCTTCTTGCAGACGACGTAGTGAATTTCCTTTTGGTCCCAATAGTTTGCCAACAAAATTAAACTGAAATAAAATGTATATACATAGGTATTAATATGGCATTGAAAAGCAATCCGAAACTTAAATTACCTTGGGATGTTCCCTAATTGGTACTAACACTTTTTGTGAAACACGCAAAGGTTTTTCTCTGTAAATATCCGCATATTTTTGTTCCCGCGGCGGTATGCGACCCATAGATTGGACTTTTTCGATTTCTGGAAAAAGTTAAATTAAATTAAACAATGTTCGTAATTAAGCAAAGTATCTAAGTGTGTATTATGAACTTATTGCTATTTATTAATAGTATCGTCATAAGTATGTAGTAATTTATATTAAATATGTATTTTGAGGGTTTTTAATAGATATTCTACATATGAAACTCGTTAGATGTGTAGACATGTAGGTAGTTGTGTTATAAAATTATAAAAAATAAATAATTATTTAGCACGAAAAATAAAGAGAATTAAATTAAATACAAATACGAATGTACAAATAAAATACATAAGTAAACAATTTAAATAAGTATAAAATGCATAAATTATTAAAAAAAAAATGTTAAAAAAACTTTTGAAAAAGAAAATATCTGAGAGAGAACGAATGAAGAAAATGTTTGCTATATTAGTGGTATTACTACGACAGCAGAAACAATTCTTTAATTTTTAATCAAAGTCAATTAACAAACACAAACACTCAAAGATATAAAATATACATTTAAATTGTATTTTAAAAAATCGATGCTACCGCTAAGACTCACCACAATCCAGTAATTTTTCAGCAATTGGAAACTTTCTATCCATACGATTTTTTTCCGCCATACAATCCCGAATGTATTCGTTGGCCTTATCATTCAACTGGCCGCCATCGCCTCCTATAATGCCGCCACCACCGCCCACCATTCCCATACCGCCAGCTACACCACCTCCAACTACAACACCACCTACATGATGGTGTAGATCATGATTTGAGTTATCACCGTTGTGAGGATCGACTCCAGGCACGCAACCACCTTTGCGTTGCTTGCCATAGTCATCGTCGTCGTTGTATGCTGCATAGTCACCGTTGCCGTCGTAGACGTCAGTCATCTTGCAACCGGACAACAACAAATGTTCGCGCCGCACACACTGCAACGTGTGGAAAGCAGCAGCTCCAAAAGCAGTTATCAATTCACAAAACGGTAATAAACGTAACAGCAACTACGACACAATCAGCCAAGTGAAGGGAAAACCTAATACGAAAGTAAATCTGGAAAATGCATAAATTGGAAAATAAATTAATACTTATAAGATTTTGGATCATAAATGCACTCAATTTAATACGTATATGTACATATGTAGACTTGTATTAACAAGTCTAAGCAACAACGAAGAAATATATATACATTTATGTATGTAGATATCTATGTATATAGAGATTTCTATTCGTTTTCCTGTTTCCGGCCAACGATTTTCTTCACCACAAATCGAAAATTTACTTATTTTACTACGCTGTGTAGCATTCAATGGACTTTTTTTCGTAAAATGTCCATCACTTTCACCCTTGGTGTATAGAAAAAAGTTGTATATTGCAGTAGCATATCAATCTATTCAACTATGCATGCCAATCCGACGAGTAGCGATGCAATTAACCGTGCCGTTAACACGATTGACTTTATTTCGGTGTTGCAGTTACACTTATAATGATTTTAACAATTTTTGTTTAGTGAAAAGAAATTGTTTTTATAAATTTGCATCTAGATAAACGTAAATATCAGTATTTTCATTTTATTATCCACCGATACGGAGTAATGAAAAACCGAGTACCCACTACCACTATTGCAGTCACTTTCTCACAACACCAACATCCACATATATTTTTTCTATGCATGCAATTGCAGACATCAGCAAGATGCAATGCAATCTTGACCGAGCTCTTTATTTACAAATTCCCTGGTTATTATTTACATTTGCGTTTACACTTATACATATATATTTAAAGCACGCACTAAAGAAGGTTTTTTCACATCGCTTATTACCTTTAACAAAAAATAATAACTATTAATTGTCGGAAAATGCAACGTCCGACGACTTTTCCGATTCGCCGCTTCGATTTTTCCAACAATGAGCAAACTGATGAATGTATTCAAAATTCGCAGATTACAAATATTGGTGATTTTGTGGATCACCAACAAAGTTCATTGTGAATGGCTTAGAAAACAGAATCCACAAAAGTGCAGCCAATAGCTGAAGAGTTCGAGCGAATGTGTTACTGTGAAGTTACACGATCAAGAACTTGCTTTCCAGTTGATCACATATAGCGAGTTTTTCAGTGCACAGCCGCGGTTTAAACTCAGTTTAAACGCCCGATCTGGCTGGTTTAAACTAAGATCAGCCAATCAAATGTCAGCCAGCTGTTCAATTTAAACCCAGTTTACTTAAACTAAGTTCAAACTGGCACTGAAACACTGGCCCATAGAGTACAACTTCACAACGTCATTTCTTGTTGTTCGCTTCGATCTGACGCAGTATTCGCCACAATATTAAGAAAATTGAATCTTCTGCTAGTTTCTTTACCCTCCTAATCGGCTTTGTTTACTTTTAATTGAGAAATTTCGTCGCCGCCGGGATGGCGCACAGTGTTTCGACTATATGGAGGCAGGTGGAAATAATAGTACACCTGCACCGATTTCACTGAAACATGAAATGTGCTCTAGTTTTACTTAGAAATAGAGAATTATGAAATTTTTCAAAGCTGGAATAATTGCCACGCCCTCTACTCTTGTGGGCGGAAACATTAAATCTCATCCGATTGCGCTGAAATTTCGTTTGTAGTCTTTATTTTATTAGGAAAACCTTAATATAACATATGGGGAAGATTGGATCTCTATAACGTCCAAAACTCTCAAAAATGTGGGCCCAGTCATTAAGTGTGATGGAATTTTGGTTAATTCTTGTTTCCTGCTTTCCACTCTCAGAAAACTAAGTTTATACTATAAAATGACTTAGGTGTAAATATTCGCTTTTTCCGGTGAGATTTTTACATTGTTCGAAAAATTATTTACCCGAAATTATGCAAAAAGAAGCTGAAAATCAAAAATTAAGAAAATTAAAAATTACATATATTTGCAAAGTCGCGCGCAAAGATCAAATTATATATTCGGAAACTACATAAAATACTCTAAAACATTCGTCTAATGTCAAGACCTGACGGACCGGTACTCACATTTTTTTACTAATAATCTTTAGCATCTACATTTCAAAGTAAATTTTTTGGTGAGAAAATAGGAAAGTACCAAATAAATGGTAAATACCTTCACCTGAATATTTCACGACATTTAAATAATTGATTACAGTTTAAAAAGAAACACTTTCTTTAATGGGTTAATCGCCAAAGGAAACTAAACTGATTAGTCGGTATCGCGCCCATTCCCGTATTTTTTTGGAAATGTATCGTTCGTGAAGAAGGGGGTGAGTAAATAACTTAAAATTTGGTATTTATGACTTTTACTTTTCCCTCTCTAAGTCCAACCGGTTTTTTTTATCAACTGTCACCATGACTTTTTTCTACCTGCCTCCATATAGTCGAAACACTGTGCGGCGCAATCTTTTTTTTTAACATTCATGTATCACCCCATTTTGATAATCTATTTCAAGAGAGGCAAGTTTAAAAAATGTTTTCTTTGCTATTAGGGGCCTTCATAAAAAGTGATAAACTGTTTATAAAATGATAAATATATTTAACTTCTACAGCTCAACTGCAACGGACTCCAAAGCAAGATTGTGGAGATGGTGGTCTTTATGGGTCGGCATGGCATATTGATAGCTGCGGTCCAAGAAACGAAGTTGCACAGCAACTCAACTCTGTTGGGTGGCGCCTCCTACAATGGTATCCGTAAAGAT